GCCGACATCAGACATGCGGCTTTGGCGTCTCGCAGAAAGGAAACCCCGATGCGAGAAGGATCCAGATATCACGTCTCCTTTTTTATTTGCTGCATGGGAGCAAACCGCCGAGGAGGAATTTTGGCCGTCCGGACCCCCTTTTTTTTTGTTAAAGGGCTTCCTCTGAAGGGCCTGGAGCCACATCGAAGCGCGTGAAGGTCAAGCACAACATTTGCAGCAGGCCGGCGGAGGGCGTGAGGAGCTGGTATGGGAGGGGTCGACCCCCACTTCCATAAAATCTGTTACTGTAATAACGGGGGGAGAAGGGGGAATTCTGGAAGATTTGATTTTGCCACGGGATGTACTTTTTTGGGGGCATCATCTAACCTGGAGAGGGACGCATAAAACCCAACACACACACACGCGTGCACGCACACACAAACACACACCGGGGCCTTCGGATGTTATTTCAGTAAACAGTGGGGAGGCGAACAAACCCACCACGGAGGAGGAGGAGGTGAAGGGGGGAGGAACAGGGTAAATAAACAACATCCCATGGCCACTGCCATGGCCACACACACACACACACACACCGACACACGCACACATGGAACAGGTTTAACATGCATGTCGATTGCAGTTGTCAAATGCCCACACGTGCAGGTTCCCCCTCAAAAACACACTGATAACAGGGCACTGGTTCCGCCCCACGTTGCGCCCCCCCACCCCTCTTAACGACGGATATAAATGGCCAATTTACTAAACGTATGTGGCTAGCGGCCACTTAAACAAATCAAGTATGCTGTCGGCCTGTAAAATATATTTATTTCCTCCGTGACATCCGGCTCGAGTCTCGTGTGTCTGAAGCATCCCGGCGAGATGAGCCCCCAGACGGGCGCCCAGTCGGGGTCCGAACCCGGCGGAATGTAAAAGCCTTCCTAAGGTCAAGAGTTGAGACAAACACCAGCGCTAACAACCAGGACAATCACCAGCAGATTGACCGATTACCAAAATAGGCTGCATTCCAGTCTGAGTGTGTGTAACCTTTGGTCCCTGTGTGCGTGTGCGTGTGTGTGTGTGTGTGTGTGTGTGTGTGGGGGGACCATCTGCTGCTAACGAGCTCAGTGAGCATGGTGCAGGTGTGGGAGTGTTTAGTGGACACTGGGGGGGAAAGTGAGCACACACGGAGCCTCCTAATGCAGCGTAATCTTGCGTGCCGGCGGCTCAACGTGAAAGAGGCGCTCTGCCCTCCTTCAGGAGCCGGTTGGTTATTTGGTCGGTAACTATACCGACGGAGCGTTTTTCGGAAAGAGATTGCAAATTCGGAATGTTTCGTGAAGAAGATTTCCCGTCGGAGGACGACACTTTGCTGCTAGAAAGATTTCCACTAACATGTGGCTTTTGTCTTCGAGAGGGAAAGATCGGCATTCATTCCTGGGACAAATAACTCTGCATTAATCCCAAAATAAACAAGACCTATAATTTATACAGCGTATTAGAATGCTCTACTGCAGTCATTTTACCTCGCAGATCAAACATAAAATAATTGTAAAACAATCTCAAAATATCGCTGTCACTGCAATACATTCACTGTTTACATTTCGGACCCCAAAAGGACATAAAGGCGCACAGCTGGAAGGTCTTTATCGGGTTTTCTCACATAAACCTGCATATGCGCCCTTATTTTGAAAGGGAAGGTGGAGTCAGTAGTTTGACTTTTGCATTCACACACAGCAAACGGCATGTTTCCCATCTACATTTCCTCGCTCTCTCTTATTCGTTCCCTCTCATTGGGAGGTGGGCAGAGTTTTTGTAAGAGGGGGGGGCGGCCGGCAGAGGCTCCACACTGAGACGCGTGCATATTTATCTTCCAAGATGGATGGCAGAGGAGTCGATGGCAGTACAGGAGGCTAATTATGCCGTTTTGGCAAAAGCCAATGGGGGGGGGCACAATCTCAGTCACGGGATGAAAGCCCTGCTCCGGCATTGTGTCAGTGGTTTATTGTGTATATATATGAGCATCGCAGAGCGACAGCGATGCCAAAAAGTGCTTCAGGAAATTCATTTCCTGAGCTCCGGTGAATGCGACAGCTGCGCCGCTGCAGTTGATTGGTGTGTGTCAAAGTACGGCTTTCTAATTCGGAAAAATGGAAAAGTGAAAAAGCTCATTCACGAGCACGCCAAGCTTTCCGCCCGGAGCGTCTTGTCAGCCGCGGAAAGGCGGCGATGACTCGACACAACGATACACTCAACGAGAGCGACTGTTCCCGATGTGTTTACGCTCATTTCACCTGGAGATCCTCCGGTTGTGATCACACACAGACGCCGTAGTTCAGGTCTTTCAGCTTTACGAATTTTATTTTTTTCTCCACATGACACACACACGAATCCTGTGTGTGTGTGTGTGTGTGTGTGTGTGTGTTGTGGTCTGGGATGGATTCAAAAGAGAATTTGGCTTCCTCTCGGCTACTGTCTCACAGAGAAGACATTCACTTTTTGCTCTGATAACCACTCGCACATGCCATGTGTATATGTATGTGTGTGTATATATATATATATATATATATATATAGCTCATGACATTCTGTACATGTAGATACACCCACACAGCCCGAAGTTGCCGGGATTGACTCCAGCCCCGCGACCCTGTATGAAGGATAAGCGGCTTTGCAGATGGATGGATGTAGATACACACACACACACACACACACACACACACACACACACACACACACGATATCACCAGGTTCAAAGCGAGGACGTGAACTTGGAGCCCTGAAGACGAAGCCTCTCTTAATTAAGCACCTGCATGTTCGCTCCAACCTAGATGAATTTCATTTTGCTGTTTTACCAGTTGCCATGGTGAGGGTGAGACTTTTTTTGTGTGTTTGTTTACTTGCGTGTGTGTGTGTGTGTGTGTGCGCGCCGTAGCAGAGTTTCAAAGCGCATCATCTGGCACTAAAGCTGGCTCTTCTAATTTGGGGAAATGGGCTTCCGCTTTGGAAGCATCCGTATGACAGCCATTTTGTGTGTGTGTGTGTGTGTGTGTGTGTGTGTGTGTGTGTGTGTGTGTGTGTGTGTGTGTGTGTGTGTGTGTGTGTGTGTGTGTGTGTGTGTGTGTGTGGTGTTTGTGTGTGTGTGGGGGGTAGTTAATAAGTGAATCAACCAGCCTTATGGCTCCAGGCTGTTATGTTAATACAATCAATTGAGTTTCACTCTTCTTTTTTTGTCCAAACACACATCCCCCCCCCCCCCCCCCCCACCCTCCATCATCATCATCCTCATCCTCCTCTTCCCCCCTGCCTTTGTCCGTACTCAGAAGATGTATCGTCTTTCGGCGCACACACGCAGACGGGCGTCCACCTGAGTCCCGGCTCCTCGCTGAGACTAATGTCCCCTTTGCTGCACATTATGCGTCCCCTTTGCATAATGTCCCCTATCTAACGCAGCCGCTCGGCCGTCCAAAGACATCATACTAAACCCCCCCCCCCCGACTACCTCAACTTTAGCACACACGTGTTCTTGTGTTCAAAGAAAAATCCAAGAGGAAAAAAGGTACAATAAAACCGATTTAATAAATAGTTGTTCTACAGTATATTTCTCTAAACGAGGACTCCACGGGCCATTTGTAGCTGGTCTGCCAACCGTTGCTGTCTATGCTGAAGCCACGAACAGAGGATAACATCACACGTGGTCGCCTCTCATTGCTTAAATATGCTTGTTTGATTTATTATAACCGTCCATTTTGTAGTTCTAATGCAGTAGCTTCCACAAAGGAGGTGTTGTTTTGTGCAACTTGAACCTGGTGCGTCCTCCGTTTCGATTTACTGAGGGATCCCCACGTTCCTAGTGAGGTAAAACTGCTTCTCTGCCATGATACCAATACACACAGTCATTAGGTGCTCCTCCTTTTTGTCCACATCCTTCTAAGCGTCATCATTTACACATTCTTTACTACCAAGTGTGTGTGTTTACAATAAATTCATGCACTTCTAGTATAAATGAACATCTTTAATATCACATGTTTTTTAATAGATGCATGCATTTCTACTGTACATAACCATTTTTAATAGCAAATGTTTCTGGTACATTTATGCATTTCTACAGTGTTCACACAGACACACACGGGGGGCACAAAGCCACATGCCTCTGATGTGCTTTCACTTCCTGGCTCCCTCTCAGAGACGTTAGAGCGTGTTGCTAATGATATCTGGTAACGCTCCGAACTCATTCGTACGTGCAAAAACAGCGATAGACCGGCTTCGGCGCGGAGTCATTTACACTCTCGTATAGAGTGTGTTTGTTTGTGTGGTAAATTCATTTCACACGGGCGCCATTCGGATCAAACGCATCGCTGTTTATCTCTCCAGATGTCCGTGTGTGTGTGTGTGTGTGTGTGTCTGTCAGACCTTTGATTGCCTGTTTATGCACACACATGCCACTTCGTTGTGTTTGACCAACGCTCCGGTGTGTGTGTGTGTGTGCACGTTACGCCCCAGCAGCGTGCGGTGTGTTTGACCGATGAGTAAACAAGCCCGTGTTTGTTTGTGGAAACTCTGAGCACCCGGAGCCCAGATTGCAGTTAATTGAAACTGTATGCTCTCTCCTCTCCGTCGATCACTTCCTGGTAGTGCGCGAACAAAAAAAAAACCTACCCAGGATGCAATTTGTGCTCGTCTTCTGTTGTTTCTTTTTGCATGAGCCGAACACCCACGTGTTCATCGGAGGGGTGCTTACATCTGTTTGTGTTTTCGGATACATAATGTATGTCCGCTGGGTGGAATGTGAAATATTGCTGGGGTTAAACCTTTAGCCGGAGGGAGATACGTGTTCCGCATCAGTAGGCCGAGAATCTGCAAACGGCTTAACACACATTTTTGTTTGCTGCCTTTCTGCCCGCGATGCGAGTTCGACATCTCGCTGAAGGGCGTTTTTTTGGCCTGTTGGCTCACTGAACCTAGATAATTCTTTTTTTATTTTGTCCACAAGCTAACATTCTGCGTCCTGTATCTCCTCCCCAGATGGCACCCAGAGGTGCTGACTCTCGCCCCGCGCCCCGCTACGACGAGGTGGACCGGCAGTACCCCACACAGCCCAGGTGAGACCACTCCTGAGTGTGTGTGTGTGTGTGTTTTATCCCTTGGTGCAGGAAAGGAAGGGATAACTTCTTACCTTTCCCTCCCTTTGTGTCTCCATCACTCACACACACGCTTACACACACACTCCCACACACACGGCACAGACTAATCCTCTTTGGAGCTTATAATTAAATCTGGAGTGTTTGCCTTGGGAGTGTCTACTCATCCCAGGAATAGGAGTCCCCCTTATCGGCCGGAGAGTAAGGCACAGACAGGAGGATCACGCTCACACACACACACACACACACCACACACACACAGGATGGTTTACTCTTAAAACGGAATTATAACCTCTATTGTGGGTTAAAGAGAACTGCACATGTTCCTTTTTGTTTGTTTAAATATGTCAAATTATGCGCGTGCAGGTTTCCCGGCACTGCCAAGTAAAAGCCGAGCAGTGCCTGTGTGTGTGTGTGTGTGTGTGTGTGTGTGTGTGTGTGTGCCTGTGCCCGCCACCTTGGTGACGTCCGCGGCCCCCCAGCAGCCAAGTGGAGCGTGGAGCGGCGTTGCCTTGGTGGAAAGTGAGAGGAGGAAAATGAGGCAGAGGGGTGGGGAGCGAGCGTGAAAAAGAGAACAGTCATTTCACGGGTTATTGCCCCCCCCCCCCCGCCCCTCCGGCCAACGCTATGACAGGCACTCGCGAGCGCCGACACCATCCCCGGCTCAGGACGAGTCTCGCCCTGCATCGGGGAGACAGAAAGACTGGCGTGGTATCGTGGAGACAAACCTAAAAAGGAGAACAGGGGGACGATGGAGTCTCACCAGACCTTTAAAGAGCTCCTCCTACTTAGGTACCAAATACGGTAAAAGAAATCGGTTTGTACACTTATTGAAGCTTCCTCCGTAAGAATATCAAAGCATGTCCGGAATATTGGAAAAGAAGAAACGAGCGTTGCAATCGGACATTTTATGCTGAGATGATGAATGCCGATTGTCACCTTTCCCTCTAGAAGACAAAATTGGCCCCCTATTGTCTGTCCCATGTGCTGCTTGATAACATGGTGAATCAAATACACAAATGAATTATTCTAAAAGATTAGTTTAGTAAAATGAGTTGCAGCTCTGCAGCTCATTGTTCGAGGTTTATCGTTCTATAACCATATGCTTCGTAAGAAAAAAGATTTATTCATTTTTTTTAGGCTTTCATTAAAACCAACAAGCAACCTCTGAAGCAGAAAAGTGAAATCAGTGACAACTCTTTGTTGTTTGTAAAGTGTAAGTGTAAGAGAAAACCAGTACTTCTCTCTCCACTTATTGACTACGGTCCTTTCAGAGTGAAATAAAGCGGCGTGTGCTTTAGGGCGGGGCTATACCGGGATTGACAGGTCGCTGCCACGGCGATGGGAGTTGTCTGTGGTCTTTCAACTTTGCTCTCAGTTCATGTAAGTAAATAGAAAGGTGAAATGAGGTCACTTCTGCCTGAGGGACCAATGGGGGACGATCTGTAGAAAACTCAATGACCTTTTTAGTTCTGCAAAGTGAAACATTGGACTGTGTGACGTGTTTATTCACAATTAGCCATGAAGCTATGAAGCCGAGTTCAAATGATGTTCATTACCTTAAGACATCGTCTCATTGTTATTTAACTGTGTTCATCTCCTCTTTGAAGTATTTTAGGCCCGAGACCCACAGGATATCATTCGTTTGAAATGCGTAATGCTGCAGTTAATGTGCTTCTGGGGACGTTCTTCTCAGCCGAGCGAGCAGCAAGGGGAAAGTGCCAGATAGAGTCACGCGTTTTGTGTTCTTGTTTCTGATGCCCCCCCCCCCCGAAAAGAAAACTACCTCCAAACCTCCCCCATGGCATAAAAAGAGGAGGAGGAAACGCAAATCCTTTTCTGGGATTTTTTTCCGAGAGACAGAGAGAGCACAGACACTGCTGTGAATTGAACTTTGTGCAAAAATCCCCCCGGGGGGGCCGCCATTATTGAAAGCCATTTCCTCTCAAAATGAGTGCGGCTCCGCCATTGGCCTGGCTCTCATTAGCATACATTTGGCTTGTCTTTGTGTGGAGCCGGCTGGGGCTGCAGCTGGAGGGCTGGGAGGGAAGGAGGTGTGTGTGTGTGTGTGCGTGTGTGGATGGATTGTACAGGAGATGTTGCAAAGCACCTCACAGATGGGAGCAAATGGAGAGAGAGGAGAGGTGTGAGTCAGAGGGGTGAGGTGGGGGGGGAATAAAAAGCTGAAATCAAAGCCGGCAGAGATTTGAATAATTCCCTTTTCAGTGCTGTGCTGCAAAGCGGCAACGTGTCCATCCTTATTTCAGCTTACAGTATGGTCGATCATATTGTGTCTTTTTTTTAAATCTTTGAGTGTCTGGAGTGTTTTTGTAGCTTCAAGCGACACGTTGCACTCCACTTTAGTTCTTTCTTGTCCAAAAAGACATTTCTCAGCGCAATCCTGCAGCCCAAAGTGTCATCACACCGCGCGGACATTCCCACCTCTCAAATGGAGAGCGCCTCTGACCCCGAGGGGGGGGGGGGTCGGTAGTACCTTGGTCCCGAGGGCTACTGCACGGCGTGATAGGGCTTCTTTGGCTGTGACCCGCCTCTCCGTTGGCCATTAACGCCGGGGTGGTGCAGCTCAACCAGCAGAGAGGCCCCACACTCTAAGGGGGGTGAGGGGTGGGACACACACACACGTGCACATGCACGCGCACCGTCATATGGAAGACATTAACGTCATTACCGTTTCAAAGCAGCCGGGTCACGGACGCGGCGACCCAGCCCCGGGTTAACCAATCAGACCAGCCGCTGACCCACTGCCCCCACGCCCCCCCCACTCAAAAGGTGATTGGATTAAGGGGCCGGGTTGGCGAGGCAACGTCGCTAGTCGGGGCGGATAATTGGCCCGATTGATGTGAAGCCGAAGGGGCCGGTGAGTCACGGGGCCCAGTGGACCGCTCCGTGGGTCAGTCTGAGTGGCCCCGGGTCCCCTTTTGGATGCGCTCTCGTCCTTTCTGTTGCCCATCAGTAATTCTAAGGAGCCCACTCCGCTTGTCATTTGGTGAAAGGACCCTCTCTGCCCCTCCTTGAAAACCAAAGGGAAACCTCTTGATCGCCCTCAGCCGGGTGAGTGTCCTTTTTAAGAACTCTCGTCTGACCTCCCTTTTTAAAGTACGCACACTTCGACCCTCTTCCCGCTCTCACAGCCTCTTGGTTTTATATTTTCTTGTGTCCCGGCACGGGGACCTTTTTGACCCCCGGGGTCGTCTCTGCTCAGGACCTAATGAGTCACGTCCAGACCGGACACACCCATTAGCAACGCAGCCCCCTCCCTCTCTGGGTGAAAGCAATCTGTTGATTAGAATAGGATGAGTAAATAAGGACTAAATAATAACTGTCTGAATTCATTGGAAATAGGCTCTCAGACCCCCCCCCAAGCTTCCGGAGTGCTCGATGATTTTTATTCAAGGTCACCGGAGAAATGATATTTTCGCTCTCTGTAAAACCGAATTTGGGCTTCATAAAGGGATTAAGATTCCCCCCCCCCCCCCCCCCCGCTGCTGTCCGGCTGTCGTGCGACTCACTCTAAACTCACCCAACTCAGTTACACTTATTGACTCTGAAACTCATTTCATTCCTCGGGTCCTGGAGAGTCCTTCGCCGAGGTAATTTCAATATTTTTGTCGTCTTCATGATCGGTTTAAGGGATCGCGTGACCCGCCCCTCCGCCCGCCCCACACAGACACACCCCTTCATTTATTGTTAAATAAGCAACCCTTGAGCATCTGAAGCAATGTGCGTATTATTTTAGTTTGATTTCCCAGGGGGGACCCTGACCTTTTTCTTATTTGCGGGCCCTTTCATGAAGGCCCCCCCTTCAACCCCTCGCTGGTGTGCGTCGGCAGCGTGTTTGTCGAGCTAACAGTGTTTGCGTTCTGACGCCGGGAGCACCTGAAGGAATCAGGAATGAAAAGGCTTCAGCCCCGGCGGCTCTGCCTGTTTACAATAACTTTACTCTGATTCCATCAATCCTCCTTCTGCCTCTCTGCTGTTCATCTCTCCTCCTCTCAGGTCCTTTCGTGTCTCGTCTCTCTCTCTCTCTGCACCTCCGTCCCTCGCACGCCCGCCTCTCAGCTGCGTGTGTGTCAGCGCTTTATGAATAAAACAAACCGTGAGCTCGCCGTGGAACACAAAGGCCGTCCCGTCCGCAGAATATAAAAGGCATACGGAGACCTCGGCTCGAACTGCAGAGGATCTGAGAAGTTGATATGATTTTGGCCACCTGACCCCCCCCACCCCCCGTTCCCGCCAACTCTCTCAACTCTCTCCATTACACAAGTTACTCTCCCTTCTGGCGTTCTGTCCAAGAAGGAAGCGCGACCTTTGACCTCAGTGGTGCAGCACTCCCTGCAGTTTGAAACCCACTCTGGCTCGATCGTCGTTGCTCATTAAAATCCGGGGAATATGGCGGAATAGCTGGTCGACGGGCGCGTGACATCACCGGGGTGCGTGGTGGCGGGAGGGTGTGAACACGGCATCTCAGCGAGAGCCAATTTCCACCGCTGCTGTTGACACAGCCCGCCGTCGGTGGAGGGAAGAGGGGGGGGGGGCTGCCGGACTGGGCTAATGGCCCCCTTTGCCTGCCTCGTGTCCGTAGCACTCAGCTAGCGCGGCCATTAGCGCAACGAATAAGTGTGTGTGTGCGCAGCGCTGGGACAAGGACAAATTTAAAGAATGTGGAGAATGCATCATACAATAATGAATATGCCAACTTGCCGAACATACATAAGTTAAATAAACCATTTTTATAATAATTGATGAGCATGCTCTGGCTCTCAGCGGCAGCGGTTTCACCGCATTAAATACACTTTAAAATTAATTTTCCAGCGACTTTCTCTTTCATCACCGCTGGTGTCGCTACGAATTCCGACTCGTTGAAACATTTTACACGGAAAAGTGTTTGCGAGTGTTTGTGCAGCAGCTATTTTTTAATTTTCTTTTCTTTTGCCGAGCGGATTGATGCATTTCGCATGCAACGCCTGCCCGTCTGTTCCCCGTCAGTCGGCTAACAGGTGAGCGCAGAGCCGGCAGATGTGCGCACATGTGCATCCGTTTTGCATCTGTATCCCCTCGCTTGAATTAATCACTTGTGCAAATGCCACCGAGGTGAAGGCAGTTCAGTGTTTAAGCGTTCCGTCCCCCTTATTTAATGTCTATGTACGAGTAAACGAAGGGAAATAAACACTGTGAGACATCACAAATATTTTACTACTCAGCAACATACAACATACCTGTTCTTGTTGGTAAAATTGGACACAAAAGATTTTGCTTATATCATTTCTATACAACAAAGACGTATACCTTCCTCCATTGACATTACAAACTGCATGTTTCCTTGCAAGCCGGTCATTTAGCTCTTCCCTTTGATATATAGAATACACGTATAATTACTTTCACGTGTCGCCCTCAGCAGCATGATGCATTTGCATTGCAGTATTATAATAATACAAGTGAAAAGAAAAGAACACGACTTGGAGACCACCATCAACTATCGGGAAGTTCCAGGGAGAGAATCCCTTGACCTCCTGTGAGTGTGAGATGTGACAACACAGAGGTGTGTGTTCTGCGTGCACAGACGCACACACGCTTGTTGGTGAATGCGGGGGTCTAATAACCAACTAACTCATTTCTGCTTCCTAGGGGACAGGTGGGGGTAAAACCCTCTCCGCACGCACACACGCACGCACACACACACACACACACACGCACACGGTCGCCCGCAGCGGCCCGGATGTGATAGCGGCGCGCTACGTGGCCTCTGATGTTCCCCGAGTGTGAGTCACATGTATTACGCGGTGTGTCATTACAGCTCTACACTGTGGGCGGCTCCCCGTGGATCCCATCACACCGAGTGGACGCTCCACTCAGGAACTGCTTTCCTTCCTTCATCATTACGTTGCATAAACAGCCTTCTTTTTCTGTTCCCCCTCCTCCTAATGTCGCTGCCGGGTCTGTTTCTACAGAGCTTCAAATAGCCGCTCTGTTAATGATATTACTCGTTGAGAGATAAAGTCTCTCCATCGTCTTTTTCTTGACGTTGATTCATTGATTCAAGCCCGTGTGTTTCTTTCCACGTCGCTCGTGGAAACATCTCATTAGCGTCCGATTTATTTCATTTTGGCACTTCAAAAGTGTGCGTAGAAGTGGTTGTGCAGGCGAAGGAAAACGCGCCTCCTGTCTGCACGTCTCGTGTCGACACGAGCTCCTTTCAAGCTAGATTAGCGGAGCTCCTTTAAATGTCATTGTCGATGTCAGCCGACGTTTTATTTCGGCAGGAATCCGCCATGTTCGGCATGTTATTTATTTATTCATTTTTTAATCAAAATCTCTGCAGGGAATTCACCCTGTTCTGAAACTTGTTTTTTTTTTTACTGGCAGCCGGGGAGACAGAAAGAAAACATATTTTCCATAATAATGAATAATCAGAGTGAACACTCGTCTCCGTCTTGAGTTACTTTTTAGAGGTGTTCCTTACTCGCGTTTGTATTTCTTTCTCCTTCTCACGCTCCTCGCTCTTTCACGTACTCCCGTGACCCTCGGACAAAGTCAGCCAAGTTCTCAAGTCAGCGAGAGATCACAAATGGGATTTTTTTTGTGGGGTGGGGGGGGGTTGCTGTTGTTGGAGCCTTATTCATACTTGGACGTGGTGGGAGGACCTTTCGGGTTAGAAACACGCACACGGGCTGAACCCGTCGATGAAGCCAGCTGTGTGACCCGGGGAGGGGGCGGGACCTCCGTAATCCCCCAGCTGCTGACCGCACACACGGCTGTTGGCCCCACTAGGACGGGACTTCCCCTGTGTTTGTTTGTTTTCATATAGTGGCGCTGCAATGATATTGCATATTGTTTCATTTTGATGAAATAAGGTTGAATGTCAACACCCCCAACCCCCTCCCCCTAAAAAACTACTACATACTCACTCATGCAAACAGCTTTCTGAGACATCCTATGAAAAAAACACAAGTACTCCCATGTGAGCAGACAAAATAGGCCAGGGTCAAAGGTCATCCAGAGCAAGCCGCTACGGGAATTCTACTTAATTTATCCCTTTGTCATTCCGAGGATTGGACAAAGACGTAATACTAGACGGCTGCTTTTCGGACACTAGTGGGTTTGGTTCATTTAACTATTATTGAATAATTGCGCACATTTGTTGATTCATTCGAACGGATGATCAGTGATCGAGTATCAAAGCTACAGCAACCTTCTCATTCTTCCTGCAGCGTGGCTCCATACATCTCACATTTGAATTCACCGTAGCTCCGAATTACGGCTTTGCCCTCATCGTTACCTCTGAGAAGCTAAATATAGCCGCGTGCGTTTCCTATTGTAGGGGTCAGAGAGGCGATTGGGGGGGAGCGGCAGGTGAATATTGAGGTGGAAACTGAAGAGGAGGGAGAGGGGGTATGGGTTAAGAGGGATGAGAGAAGAATGGGGAAGCCGCCGGAGCTTCCTGACTGTTTGGGTGGCCCCGAGTTGGGTTGAGGACGGCTTAAGGGCCCAGGTGTCCCCCCCCTCCCCCCTTCACCCATATACCCCTCTATCCATATACACCTCCATCTTTCCTTTCCTCTTTCCCTCCCCTGGTGGCCTTTACCGTTTAATCTGGATTAATGAGGAGGTTGACCTTCATTTCTCTCTCCAGCGTCGAGCTTCACGTGCAGGAATATGCTGTTTTAGCCCCGACTCCCTCCACGTCTGCTTCCGTCTCCTCACATCACTATTCAATATTAAATCTCTCTTCTCTCTTTTCATGCCTCCTTCCTTTATCTCAAGCCTGTGTGTGCGTGCGTGCGTGCGTGTGCGGTTCCCTTCCCACTGACTGACAAGGCAGCGCTGTTCTTTCTTGGGACCACCTGTGTACCCCCCCCCTGCTCCCCCTCTGCTCTGTTTGGGTGGTCAGGCCAGAAAACACACTCTGCTGATATGTGGGAGACACTCACGCATATAGAAGTCCACGTCAGCGGCGTCCACGAATATCCTCAAGGGAAGTCCTCTCATGCACAAGCTGCGCGCCCACTAATCCGCGCTGAGTGAGTCACTCTAATTGGCCGGTCAACAGGTGGCGTGCTCCACTCGGGGGACTGGACAGAGGAGACGCAGGGATACGATTGCAGGACGGGGGAGAGGTTAAGCTCAAGGCTTCTGTATAATAAGTACAGTGGGAGGCATTGTTGAAGGGTGGGAAGGAAATGTGTCCCGCTGATTGATGCGGTTTGATCGTTTGAACTGTGTTCAGAGCATCAACGGAAACACAAACCCACCGGGTGGAATCTCTGCAGTATCGGATACTGTGTTTATTTCTGATGCTCTATTGATCCTGAAAACGCAGATGTATCCCATCCAGCAAAAGCATTGCCGTGGTCGAACAAGTTGAACGCATGCTAGCGTCTAACTGACCGATTACATGCAACCTTCTACGGCCATATATGGTCAACGGGAAACAGTTTTCATTCACGATGTTGGCAGGGGCTCGTTGTGGATCAACACTTTTAAAAATAGCTTCCCCCTACTGCTGGCCGACGAAGACCTGACTTTTAGATTCGCTTACTTGCAAACACGCGTGTGGAAACAGCACATTAGATGGAAAACATTCGAATGGGCCCGTGAAAGGTGAGCAGCCCGCCCCTTTCTCTCTCTCCCTCCTATTTTACCTTCTCTCCAGTCCCCCCTCTCTCTCTCTCACCCCGTCTCCCCGTGGTCCGCGTGTCGCCTTACCCGGGGGTTTTAGCCCCTAATCACCCACAGCCAGTGGGAGGGAACCGGAGACTTCCAGCTGGCTGCCTCGTTACAGCGGACCCCTTGGGACACACACATTCCTGCACACTCCAGCTAAACACACACCCACACAACCTCATATATGCTTACCAAGGCATTTGCTGTTATCTCTTGGCATCTCTCCATCCCCCCCCCACCCACAACTCGATCCTACCAAGGCCACGGCCCCATCACGTAAACCAAATAACAGGAGGAGGCTTACCGGGAGCGAGGGCCAAATCCAACCGGTGTTAAAGTTCTTCTTCCCTTCCATAGACACACGCTATACATATAATGATATACATGTATTGAGTTTGTCCTGATTTTTCCAATCTTTCAGAAGGGATCCATACGATTACCCCACCCACTCCAGACCCACTGCTAGAGAGCCGCCCTACCCGGACTCCAACCAGCGCTACCACCCCCCGTCCTCCGGCGCGGGACTGCAGCACCGTGCGGCGGTGAGGCAGGACGTCCCTCCGTCTCCCAACCCGGACCGGGGGGGGCGCCCCTACTACGAGGCCGCCGGCGGGCGGGTCGACACCCACCGGCAGGCCGGCCAGGGCCCGGAGCGCTACGAGCGCGGGGACGAGAGGCAGCCCGACCCGAGGCGGAAGAACCCCTTGATAGGCGCGGTGTAGAGCCACACAAGCCCGTGTGATTCCAGGTCTGTGGAACACGATATCAGCGGCTCTGGGCTCCGGGGGGAGGAGTGAGATTCGGCCGTATTAACTGATCTGATCAGGAGCTAGAAGTGACAAGCTGGGAGGCTAAAATAAGGCTTATTTTCAAGACCAACCATCTGGTCATAACTCTCCACAGGCCAAGACCGATTGAACAAGCATTGTGTGTGTGTGTCTGTGTGTGTACATGTATACAGTGCACGTGTTTGCAACCGCTAGTGTATATAAGCAAGCGTGCCAATGTTTATATTGACATTTTTTTAAAGATGTTATGTAGATTTGACATGATGGCTACGGTAATTAAATTAATCACACAGATATCTGGAGTTGACTTGGAGTTGATTCTATAACTTAAATATACACTATTACAGCATTTTGCACAAGCTGATCTAACTTAAGGAAATGAAGACGCATCACCTTGACCAATTGGACCAGGAGAAACAGGAAGTTGATGTGGACAATAAGGAAAAGGAAGCGACGCCCTTCAAAATACCCTCTTGGTGTTTGGCCGCCTGGACGTCCTTTCCATCTGGCCACTACACTTAGATATCTGTATTTTTGCCTTTGATTATTTGGGTTTGAAAGTGGTTGGTACTTTTACTGAAGATTTGTTGGACGTATAAATGCGTTATATAAATGTATTTGTGATATTTTGGTGGTGTTTCCAATAAAAATGTATACAATTTGATTATAAAAGTAGTCGACGTGAATCCTCACCCAGCTAATAAAGTGCTTATTAAAAGTTTTTTATCTTTTGACATGTAACTGCTGCAAGTGACTGCAGTGATTTGACTCAAACATGCTATGAAATGAATGCATTCTTTTTTTTTAAACATATATTTTGCATTAAACGTTTTGAAACGATCATTTCTTCCAATGTCCTTTGCAATTATTATTATTATGATCTGGACTATGCATATTTAAAATATCCAGTCAAACTACCATAACACCCTGAGTCATCACTTTATATTCATTAAAAATATTCAGCTGAATTTTTGCAAGCACAATCTTGAGATAAATTCGCCCGGTGAGATGACTGATAAGAGTAGCCAGCGTTCTGATAATGACTGAATCATATTCAACAATTAGAGGAAGGGAAATCTCCAGTGGAAAATGATTACTGCCCAATTTGCTCTCAGAAAATAAAGATGACACTGATTGGTGAAATTAGACTTTTAAAAGGGGAATAATTAGAGTGTGGAGGAGGCTTTTTCTATCAGTTAGTGTTATAATTAACGTCGGGGCCAACGAGGACCGGGCCTCTGCCGATTCGGCTCTCCTTCACCCGGAACGTGCTTCTCCACCGGCCGGTACCAGGTGGAGCGAAGGCGCCCGGCTTTTCTTTAAGGCGAATGAACTTTCCCCTTTTGGCGCCTGCCTTTTTTTTAACTTCTTTCTTTTTTTGTATTAAGGTAGTTTGTGGGGGCCACCGCGTCTTATCGCCTCCTCGGCTGAGGGCCCCGAGCAATTTACGGCACTCGAGTTTGCTTCGCTGTGCTTTGAAGAACGCTAATCGGCCTCCTTCAAGGGCTCGAGCTCGGCTCGCTGCCGGAGAGGATAAACAACGGCAAAGGAAACGCGGCGGCATTAACCGCATTTAACGGCCATTAAACAAAAGCTGCCGGGAGCGCTCGGCTGTGACACACGTCTCCTCCGTTTGTTCTCGGCTGTTAAGAAGAGAGGTTCCGGTTCAATCGCATGACGCGCACTCTGGACTATCCGGGGACCCCCCCCCTGAGCCCCCCGACAAGCTACTTGTTTATTCTCTGCTCCTGTTCCCTGATCATTCCGCAGGGCCCTTTTGGAAAGTTCACTTTCTTTTGCTTCTTCTTCTCCTCTTGTGTTTCCTCGCGATTTAATTTGACACCTCCTGAGCCTGCGTTCTATGTCGCAGTTCCTGGAAGAAAAAAAGTAAGTAGAAAGAAGAGAGAGATGCAGAAGCACGAGCTGTTCCCTGGTCGATAGTCGTGAACCGCGAGTTGTGGGAGAATTCCCCCGGTTATGTTCTCTTAGCATTACCCATTCTGCCGGCGCCCCCGTTCCAACACCTTGCCTTGTTAGCATGTGTCAATCAAAAGCCGCGCTCGGGGGAGGGCAAAGTGGAGCGCTGCAGCCGTTATCTCCCGCCCACACGCCGCCGCCGCCAGAAGAGGAGGAGGAGGAGCCGGGAGGTAGACGGAGGCCGGGAGCTGGAGGGGCGAGCAGGCGGTAGATGGAGAGGAGCGGGTGAGTGCCCGCGCTGACCTCTCGGCCTCTCCCCCCACCCCCCTCCCTCCAATCCTCTCTTCATTAAAGGCGCATTCCACCGCATTAGCCCGCCGTCCTTCTGTCCTTCACCTGCCGCCATTCATTTCAATTTGGCCCTCGTTAAAGGCGTCCGGGTCTTGGCAAAACGGAGCAGGCCGGGGGGGCGGAGCTTCTCATTTGATTATGCGGTTCATTAGAAAGTAACCCCGCCACCCCCGGGCCCTTCACCCGGGTCTGAGACAGGCCATGTGAATAGATGGTGGCTAATGTGCAGTTTAAACGGCCTGAGTATGGAGATTGGTGGAGTTATGGATTACCGCTACCCGTTGGCCTGCCCTTCACCCACCTCATTCGCTTTTATGTCGGCCGTGTAGCCTTTTGATACAGTGTCAGCTCCAGCTGGATTGTGCTCTTTCAGCCAGCATGTTTGTTTGATATTGTTCATGAGCTGTGAAATTGAATTTCCACAGTTGGGCTGATATTGGAAATAATTTCATATCTCGTGCAATAGCTTGGTTTCCCCTTGTGCCGTGTTTAAGACATCCATTTTTACTTAATGTCTTCTCCTTCTCCCTTTTGCCCATTCGACACGGCCACGCTGTTAATTTTGACCGTATTTACCATGAAAGCAGCGAGCGGCTGCCTCTCGTTTTTGCCCACACACCGCGGCCGTGCCACCATCTTCTGTCGCCATGGCAACGGGGCCGCCGCCGCTCCTGGCACGGCAGCCCCCTTTCAGAGCTGATGACATCGTTGTGGCAACAATGAGGTTCATATGTGGAAAAGTGCGGCACTTTTTTTTTTTGTCCCCTTGTTCCTTAACAGGCGCCGTATGGGGGGCATGCGGCTGGAACGCCATCTGCATTACATTCAGCTCAGCGTGGTAAGCTCTTGTTGGTTTAGCCAGTTAGGATGAATACAAAGCAATGTTCTGTAAGCTACACGGAGCATTCCTTCCGTCTCTTTTTGGGACGCTTCTGAAGAAATTGGAAATGAGAAATATGGTTTTATTTAAACCGTAGGATGCGACACAAGCATGAGACCATCGAATGGGTTGTCTGCCTTTTCCCCCCCGCGGGCTCCCAGCAGAATTGAACAGGCTGCGTTGTGTATTTGCTTCCCGCGCTGCAGAGGCTGTGGCTGGGTCAGATTCCAGCATCCAAAACCTTCAAATTTGTTCGCCTCCCTCTGGCTTTTTGCTCCGGCACACGAAAAGAAAAACAGCCCAAAAGTTGTGTGCACTGTGGTGCTAACCCAAGGCTAGCAGCACGGTTCAGCGGGTTGTGATGGTGGCCGGCAACAGCTGAAGTCCGTGACCCCTGGACTCCATCCATCAGGCTTTCAGCACCAGCCGTGGCCTCTGACACGCTCCAAACTTCAGCCAAGGAATGGAAGCACGCAACGGGGGGAACTGCATCAATGTCAGGGAGACGCCGGAACCATATAAAAATTATATGTAGACACTTCGTCCAACCCTTGACCTCCGCACACAGCACCGATCCGACTGCGAGCCAACACACAGCAGCGTGCTCGTGCACAGGTGTGTGTAGTTAGAAATGTTTAGAATCTTGAGTGTCATACGCTGTCTCTCCTTGACACGCGGCAGCACATCCGCAGCACACACACTTTCCAGTGTGTGTGTGTGTGTGTGTGTGTGTGTGTGTGTGTGGCAGAGGCTCAGCTGACCCCCTGGCAGTCACCGGGGTATTGGCGCCCGCCCCGTGCAGATGCCAGGTGTTTTGCTTGGCAGTCCTGGGTGCTGGGGGTGAGCTTGTGTCAGCAGTGTTGGGTTGCCGTGAACGGCGGGGGGGGGAAAGGATGGGGGTAATGTGTCGCCTGTCCCTGTTAGCCCGGCCGCCAACAGCCAGCCCCGCGAGGTCCGGGGGGTATTAAAGGCCGCTCAGTTTCCGCGTGAGCGTGGCGTGGGATGTATGGTCCTCGCGTGACTCATAGAAAAACACAAGTTGGTTTACAGTCCGGCTTCGACTGCGACTGTATGTCCACTGCGTTTGTCCTGAGCGGTGGAAAGGTCAACGGTGATGATTGATTTGGGTGTTTAGGCCCTCAACTTTATGCCATAAGAGTATCAGGTGGCATTTTGATCTTAGAATAGTTTTGGGAATCATGCAACTTCCACTTATAAGCTACTGCCAGTGCACAAAGTCACAATACTTTTACAATACTTAGTCTTAGTTTTTGTCGACGAAAACTAGACTAAAACTAAGAGGATTAAAATGACTAAATGTGACTAAAACTAATATGCATTTTTCGCCTTATGACTAAGACTATATCAAAAATAGCTGCCAAAATTAACACTGGTGCACAACAGTAGGAAGGCGCTAACTTGGCTAGCTAAAGTGACAAAATCCTTCTACCTGCACCTTTGAAGCATAATAATAGAGGTGGACAATGTTGTCCATATAAGAGTCAGGGGTTTTTGGGGGGATTCCTGCTCGGTTTCAGTCACTTCCTGAAGTCTAAGCTCAGCTTCCTGGTGCCTGGTTCAACGCAAAACCAAAGTAAATAGACTTGGTCCAGTAAAACCAGTGAAGTGGCGCTTTGATGTCCTCAGTGATGACTGAGACCGACCTCATCGGCCTTCTCCGCTTTTATGTTTCCCCCCCGAGAGAAGTTGTGACTTTTTTTATTTTTTTTATCACACATCCGTCCGTCTGTCCGTCCGTGGCTCCTGCAGCTGACAGGCATGTCATTGGACTTCCTGCCTCGTTTTCATTTTGCAGAGATGGTTGGTTCCAACAGTGGATTAGACAAAGTGGAGCCTCATTGGAAAGTCGCTGTAGCAGCCAGCAGCGTAATCCATCCTCGCATTCCTTCCAGAGGATGCCAAACAGCTCGCTGAAAATGAGCTGCGGCCCCCGACTCAATTAGATCTCCGCTCTGTCTCCGGGCTTTCTATCTTTCAAACACACACACACGCACACACACACGCAAACATACAAACACTCTGCGGCTGCCACCAGCTTCATTAGTGCTACGAAATGTCCAGCTCGTTAAGGCGAGGCCATTAGTGGCTAATTGAGAAGCTGTGCAGAGGAGACAAACTCCTGCTCCTCTGATTGCAGACAGGAGAATTTTGACCAGTTTTTTCTTGATTCCACCTTGAGCTCATTCGTTGGACTCGATTGAGCTGCAGCCTGAAAGGAGCTTCCGGAACACAGAGGCTTTTCTTTTTTTCCCTTTTGTGATTTTTTTTTTTCCGTTTATAAAAAAAGAAGAGGCCGCATTGTTTCTTTTTTGCGTAATTTGTTTTATTTGTCGTAAATGTTTTGCCCGTTTGCCCATGGCGAGTTTCGCTGGGTCATTTTGCAGCGCCTTCCCCTTTAGGCCCATTATGCCTCCTTTCTAGACATAACAGTCAAACTGCCACAACAGCCTCAAACACCAGTTCACAACTGCCCGCCTTTCTCACTCGGCGGCTCGACTTTCCATCTCTGTGCTCCTCTATGCCGTCCTCCTCCGTCTCTTCTTTCCATTCTGTCACCCCCCCCCCACGAGGAAATGAGAGTGACACACACAGACAGACAGACACACACAGAGCCTGATTCATTTCTTTCAAAAGTTCAAAAGAAATCTACAGATGAGACTGATAGAAAATGAAA